ATTAAATTTTTGATCTTAAAAATAATAAGCCAATGTTCACAACCAAAGACTGAATTAGTAACCTGAGCCAAGGATTTTCTTCTGATCTGCAGCACAAAATCACAGAGGGTTGAAAGTTGCCCTGGCAGGTGTGGCTCAGTTGGTTGGGCATTACCTTGTGCTCCATGAGGCAATTGGTTCGATTCCTGGTCAGGGTACATGCTATGGTTGTGGCTCGATCTCCAGTGAGGGGCGTATAGGAGGCAGCCGATTGACGTTTCTCCCTCTCCCTCTCCCTTCCTCTCTCTCTAAAATAAAATAAAAAACAAACACTTTCTGTAAAGTTCTACAAAGAAGGAACAGATAAAAAGAAGAGAATAGTAAATAACGAAAGAAGTAACAAGATTAATTTCTAGGTATAACGAAAGGCTGAAATCCTTAAAACCAATATTGAGAAGGGAAATTGAGGATTGACAAGATCATGTTCTTTTTAAATTTTACACTTGGACCCATGATAATGTAATTTTAATACATTAAAAAATAGATTACATATTGCTTAGTAAGAATGAGAATCAGACTGTGATCAGAATTCTCTTAACACTAAGGAAGATCAGCCATTGTTTCTGTTTGCTGTGAAATAAACTTAGACCTATGACTACTCATTTTACTGTGCTCAAATTACTAGATGTTAGACTCTAAGAAGGAAATAGTAAGATACAAGAAACAATGGTAATTTAGAAGTAAGCCAACTGAAACTTTTTTTTTTATTTAAATTAATCTATTTTTGTTACAGATGTTTCTCCTTTTCCCCCCACTAATTCTTCCCTCCCCATCCCTCCCCAACAATTTTTTCCTTTTTTTTGGTGGTACATGCCCCTAGTGGGAAAGGAACCCGGGACCCTCTGGTTCGCAGGCCAACGCTCAACCGCTGAGCCAAACTGGCCAGTTCTGAAACTTCTTGATGGAGGTTGATTGAACTAGAGCATTTGCCGTCTCCTTTATTCTTCCCATGGAACCAGAGTTCATCTTTTTCCTCCCTTGGAGCTAGCATGATAGATAAAAACCCAGCTAACTTTTGGTCCTTTCCCAAAATTTTGAACTTGGATGATTCAGAGAATAATAGCATCCCTTTAATGGAAATAGAGATTTAAAGAGGAAAAGCTATCTAGGGAAAAAGACTGTTAAAAATGTTAAGTTTAAAAACTTATTAAGATAGAAATAGGCAAATGTTCAATAATCACTTCATTATTTGTAATTTATACTCTGAGTACTTTATTTGTTTGTTTTATCCTCACCCGAGGATATTTTTCCATTTTTTGTACAGATAGAGCGGGAGGGAGAGAGAGGAAGGGAGAGAGAGAGAGAAACATCGACGTGAAGGGACACATTGAGTGGCTGCCACCCGCACGACCAACCAGGGCCAACTGCACTGAAGTACGTGCCCTTAGCGGGAACCGAACCCGGGTCTCTCTGGAACGCAGGCCAACGCTTTAACCGCTGAGCCAAACTGGCCAGGGCTATACTCTGAGTACTTTAGAAAGTATTACAACTTCCTGGCAAACAGGTACTTGAAAATTGGCTATAGCCCTCCCAAAGTCAGGGCTCCATTTCCACTGCCTGGCACAGTGCCTTTGACATAGCTATTCAGTAAATATTTGTTAAATAAATGGTACCATTTGCATCAAAACAAGCAGCAATTGAACTAGAGGTTTCCGAAAAAATGGTTGAGGAGAGTAGATTAGTGTTTTTATTCATTAGTGTTTATCCTTGGAACATCTGCATTAAAGTTACTTAAAATTCTTGTTAAAATCCTGACTACTGGCCTTGCTCCAGATATGCTGCATCAACAGTCCCTGGGTGTATATCTTAGGAATCTGCATTTTAATAAGTACCTCAAGATTTTTAAGCATGTTCACGTTTAAATAGTCCAGAGAGGGCAGGGAAAAGAAGTCTAGATAAAGGATAAAAGAAGTCTAGAGAAAGTATATTTTTAGGGGGCAGTACTTTTCAACATTTTAATGTCATTCACAATTAGAAAATATTTGCAAAACTCCTTGGGATACAATAAGTAGAGACTGTTAGAAGCGTGAAATAACCAGCACCAGGGGCTTCACAAGTGCAGGCCCCACCTGGTTGCCCCGAGGCTGAGGACATCAAGATTGTGAAACACCAATAATGTATCTGTGAAACTCAGGAAGCTCTGTCAAGGACAAGAAGGAAAATGAACTATCAGAAGATAATTTAAAGGCGAGATTTATCAAACAAGCCTCAAAACAATGCATTGTCCCCCAAATTAGGAATGCTGCGGAGAATTCAAGGATTGGGAATGAAACGGGGTTCCAATAATTGGAAGGTTAGGGGAATTCTTGAAGTTTTAATGCAGAGGTCAAAGGAAGGAAAAAGGATTTCTAAAGAAACAAGTGAATGAGCTACAAGGAAGTAAAGGACACAGACTATTTTAAGTGCTAAAGGAAAGGAGGCAATAGCTGGAAGAGTATGAGGAGAGGACTTGGGTGTTAGGGGGTCAGGGAAGTATAGCAGAAGCTTCTTTGCCACAATAGGAACCGAAAGCCATTTTTATTGTCATGGATTTCATAAATTATTTTTTAACTTTGCAATCATTTAGTAGTCTAAGAAAGACCTCAGAAGTCCCCTTGAATTATAACAGGAAATAACAGTTACAAATCAGACCATTAGTGCAGAGGCTGCCATTGGGGTGGATACTTCTTCAGGAGCTGACACTTTCAGAATCTCTTTGGTTTATCCTAATTCAGGTTTATGTTTTTTATTATTGTCTCAATCAGTCATTGAAATCTCATTCAGTATATTAGTGCCAGGTTAATCACAGGCTGTATTTTATAGTATTTTAATCTTCTAAGGCCATTTTATGTAGACTGGCAGGAACAGTTAGAAATTGTTTTACATAATGTGATTTTAGGAATATATCTGTGGTAGGCAGAATAATACCCACACCCCCCAACCAAAAAATGTTCATGTCCTAATCCTTAGAACGGTTTAATATGTAATTTTACATGGCATGGGGAATTAAGGTTGCAGATGGAATTAAGGTTGTTAATCAGCTAACCTTAAATAGGAGAGTAACCTGGATTATTTAAATGGGCCCAATTTACCACAAGAGTCCTTTATATATGAAAGAGTCAGAGAGATTTGAAGATGCCATGCTGCTGGCTTTGCAATTGGAGAGACTGCAAGCCAAGGAACACAGGCATTTTCTAGAAGCTGTAAAAAGCAAGAAAACAAATTCTCCCCGTGGCCTCCAGAAGGAACACAACCCTACCAACACCTTGATTCTAGCCTAGAAATACCCATTCTGGGCTTCTGAGTTCCAGAACTGTAAGAAAATAATTTATGTTGTTTTAAGTTACTAAATTTGTGGTTGTTGCAGAAGCATTAGTAAACTACTATAATATACAAATTTTATCATCTTAATTTTGAAACATGTAAGTCTCACTTCTCTGTCAGACTATAAGTTCCTTCTGACCTGTAATCAGCCTCTGGGTTTGACGTACAGTAAACGTTAAAATGTTTATTGAGCCCTGGCCGGTGTGGCTTAGTTGGTTGGGCACCGTCCCATGCACCAAAAGGTTGCTGGTTCGATTTCTGATCAGATCACATGCCCAGGTTGAGGGCTCAGTCCCCGATAGGGGGTGTGCAGGAGGTAGCTGATCGATGTTTAGCTTTCACATCGATGTTTCTCTTCCCCTCCCCCTTCCTTTCTCTCTGGAAATTGATAAATTATTCTTAAAAGTAAAAGAATAAAAAGTAAATGAAAAGATATATGTTTATTGCAGTATTATTTACAGTGCCAAGACATGGAAATAATTGAAGTGTCCTTGGATAGATGACTGGATAAAGAAGATGCAGTACATATATACACGGGAATACTACTCAGCCATAAGAAAAGATGAAATACTGTCATTTGTGACAACACAGATCTTGAGACTATCATGCTAAGCTAAATAAATCAGACGGAAAAAGTAAAAAACCATACGATTTCACTCATGTGGAATATAAAACTAAAATCAACAAATGAACAAATAAGACAAACAAAAACTCATGGACTCAGACAACAGTATGGTGGCAACAAGAGAGAAAGCAGGGTGGGAGGAAGTAGTAAAGGGTAAAGGGGGCCAAATATATGGTGATGGAAGGAAACTTGACTTTGGGTGGTAAACACACAATGCAGTATACAGATGGTGTATCATAGACTTGTACACCTGAAACCTATATAATTTTGTTAACCAATAAATTTAATAAAAAGCTTTTAAAATGATGTTTTATCTTTGGTGTTCATAACATAGCTATAGTTCTCAGTGCTCATTTCATACATAAGAATCAAATATAAACAAAAACTCATAGACACAGACAACAGTATGGTGGTTACCAGAGACAAGGGTAAAGGGGGCCAAATATATGGTGATGGAAGAAGATTTGACTTTGAGTAGTGGGCACATAATACAATATACAGATGATGTATCATAGATTATACACTTGAAACCTATATAATTTTATTAACCAATATCTCCCCAATAAATTTAATTTTAAAAGTAATAAATACTAAATAAGCCATCATCCTTTATTAGTCCTGACTAGAATTTATACTGTCGACCGCCCAAGGTGGTCTCTATCCGGTAGCAGAATTGTTCAGACTTCTTTTTGCCATTCCCTTTAGCGCTGGCTTATACTATCAGCGATGTTTTACTTTGTGTTTGTCATTTTTATATAGTCACGGATAACTAAAGCTGTATTTTTATTATGATAGTGAATTATAGTGAATAACAGAACAGTTTTGTATTTATGAATAGTCTTCATGAGAATTCTATTGTCTGTAAACTGTATTAATGAATACTGAGTTTTTATGAGGTAATTCTATTCTAAAGTGTTCTTTGGTCTCTCTAACAAAATATATTAGCTCAAAATGCTTCTGTGTAGTATTGATCTGCCTATTTATCATTAAAATTCCACACTTATTCTTACATGATTTTATGTTTTTTCAACAGTGATTCTTTTAATGTGCACCGAGAAAGTATGCGACAGATGATGAGAAGTTTTTCTGAACCTTTTGGAAGAGACTTGCTTAGCATCTCTGATGGTAGAGGAAGAGCTCGTAATCGAACAGGACGTGATGATGGGGAAAATTTCTTGACTGTGAGTTCTTTATTTTCAAGTTAGTGAGACGGTCCTGTGGGAATTTGAAGAAAGTTATTATAGAAGAATAAATCTACCATGATAACATATGACTCATACTTATGTCATGGAAGTAACTATTTCTTAAAGGCAGGGACTTGTTGGAAAGCTGAATCCTTTAACAGTGAATTGTTAGCTGTATAGTATTTCACTGTTTTACCTAAACTTTTAGGATCATAGTGTTATATATTATAAAACAAATTTAAAGCATTATTTTTCATATGCATATATATGGTTTGTTCTCACCTTATAATTGCCTCCCATATCTTAAATTAGAACAGGCAAAGAAATAATCTTCCTGTCCCATACAACACTTCTCCCTACCACCACCACTTTAAAATAGTAGCCTAAGCGCTGGCTGGTTTACTCAGTGGTTACAGCATTGGCCTGTGGACCAAAGTGTTGCGGGTTTGATTCCAGTCAAGGACACGTACCTCGGTTGTGGTTCATCCCAGGCCCTGGTAGGAAGTTGTGCAGGAGACAACCAATTGATGTGTCTCTCTCACATCCATGTTTCTCTCCCCCCCACACACACACTCTATCTAAAGATAAAATGGAAAAATATCCTCAGGTGAGGATTTAAAAAAAAATAGCAGCCAGAGCTATTGCATAATGCTTTGTCTTTATTGGATCAGGAAAAATCAATCTTCTTCATAGTTAATTGACGTCTTCAAAGTCAATCTAAGTTTTAGACCTTCAAAACTTAGATTAACTTTTAACTGTATTCAAAAGTCTTGCATAATTGCAGTATATTTTTATAAGTATTATCTGAGGGCAAAGCTAGAAGGTTACAAACATACTCAACTCAAAATAAATCTCAGGATATTTATATATCTTGACCCTTTTCTGTTTATTTCTATTGCTTTTCTAGCCTCAGGAATAACATTTCTAGAATAACAACTCCATAGAAGATTCTATAAAGATGATTCTCTGCATTTGAAATGTAGATATTTGGAACTCAGTAAACATTAAATTGATCAATTAGAAAACTTACAGAATCTTCCAGAAAAAAGCACATTTTCATATTTTCAATGATCTTAAATAGAGCAAATTATTTTAAATACTCATAAGAATTTTGATGGATAGAATTACATTTACTATTTAAATGAAAGAAATCTTTACATTCTTTCTCATTTACATATTATCCCACTATATATTACTCACATTCCAGTTTGTTTTCTTTTTATTAGTAAATAGTGGTTATATATGTGTGTATGTGTGTGTGTGTGTATATGTTATTGATGTCGATAATTTTTACTTTTAATCAGTTATAGGCAAGATTAACTGATGTTTTAAAAATATGGAATAGTTAAGCAAAGTAAAGATGATATCATCTTAATCATTGTATATTATGTTTTAATTAATGTTGGTGTACATTTGTGTGTCCTTTGAGAAATGTATGTATGAAGCCACAGCAAATACTTTTCAACTCCCTTTAATAAATACTAGAGTAGTCATATTTAAAAGTGATATATGGCCTCCCCTATTTGCTTGCCAGGCTCCTGTCAGGCTATACAATGAATAATAAGCAGGGAATTTTTTAAATATATGTTGAGTTCTGTTTGATTAAAAGATTCTGTAATTGTATTAGCACTGAACTTTGTGAGTATATAGTGCATTTCTTTTTTAGGGATTATCATGTAATAAATATCATAACCAGAATTAATTGGATTATTTTCTAGGCAATGAATTCTTTTGTGCCTTTTGGCAATTATGGTGGTATGGTTCATATCATGAGACACAAACCATTTTAGCAATATTTTCTGGCAAATATTTATTTTTCATTAGCTCAAGCAAATTGAATTGGCATGCAGTTTTACTTTTACAATGGCTTTTTAGTATTTGTACTGAAAACCCGTTTCATGTATTAAATTTATTTTAGAGTGTTTCGGGCATGTGTTTTCTGAAGTAAGTCCTATCAACATATATAAAATCAGTCTTCAAAAATAAAAAGTGCATTTTAATAAATGAATGAACACTCACTTGATTTACAAAAGGGATTGAAAGTTGGAGACGTGCTTATGATGACTTTCCAAAAGCTGAAAAGCACAAGACTGTAGATAGACAAGCATGTTTGGAAAAGCTCACTGGCTGTTTTCTCTAGGTGTCTCTTGGCAATTTGTTCATGCTGATTTTTCTTTCCCATGTCCAGATGTGCCTACTCTGCAACCAACTTTCCCCTCACTCCTGTTTCTTAGGGCTTGCATCCTATTTCCTGTGATGCTAGTTTCTAACACATAAAGGCAATCTGAGGAATAGCAGAGAAGAGCATGACTTTGAAACATTTCCTATGGATGCATCTATACTCTCATGAAAAAGTTTCTTTTATTCTCTTGTGCCAAACTTCAACCATTTGTCTCCTTAAAGTTGAGCTTCCTGACCAGGGACAAATGACAAAGAAAAGAAGCAGTTATAGCACAGAGTTATCAGTAAAATGATAGGAAGTTCAACATGCTGTGGCAGCACAGATAGGGGAAAAATCCTGTAACCCTTTGGGGATATGAGGGTAGAGGTCAATCAGAGAAGACTTCCTGAACCTTAAAAAATAATAGAAGTTAGCCAGGAAAAACAGGGAGGGGGAGAAGAATGTTCAGCACAGAGGAAGCAGCATGTGCGAAGACCTGGAGGCTAGGGAGCACAAAAATATTTAGGATCACTTGACCCTAGACTACGCGAGTTGAAGGGTGGATGTAGAGGAGGATAGAGAGGTAACCAGGGACTTCTTATAGCCCTGGTAAGGACTGTGAACATTATCATAAGAGCAAAAGAAGCAATTGATGAATTTTTATCAAAGTACGAATAAAGTCAGATTCTCTTCTTTAAAAAATATATATATATTTTTTAAGTTGAATATTTTAGAGAAAGAGGAAGGGAGAGGGAGAGAGAGAAACATCAATATGAGAGTGAAACATTGATCTGCTGCCTCCTGCACGCCCCCTACTGGGAATCAAGCCCACAACCCAGGCATGTGCCCTGACCAGGAATAAAACTGTCAACCTTTTGGTGCATGGGGCAATGTCCAGCCAACTAAACCACACTGGCCGGGGCTAGCTTTTCATTTTTGAAAGGTCACTGTGTTTGTAAAGGAGGGAGAGATTAGAAAGGACCACAGTGGAGGCAGGGGGCCCAGGAGGCTGTTAAAGTGTTGTGAGTAGTAGTTAAGATAGGTTCTACATGGGTAATGGCTGTAGTGATAAAGAAAAATCATCTCATTTGAGAGAGAGTTAACGAGGTGAATGAATGGATAGAACTTGGTGATGGATTGGGTTGCAGGAGCAGGAGAGAGGGAAGAAAGGTATTACACCTATTTTTCTGGTGTGAGGAATTAGACGGATGGGAATGCCGCTGAGATCAGGAGCAGAGCATGGATTCGTGTAGACATGAGGGCAGGAGGGCCCAAAAGATATTTCATTTTGTATTTGAGGCATTTGTGGGTTGTCCAGTTAGATCTATTTATCTGGTAATAGTTAGATACACGGGTTTGAGCTGAGCTAGAGAGAATTTGTTTATTCACTCAGCAAATATTTATTGAGCCTTCCTGTGTGCTTAGAATTATTTTTAAAGAATTGGGAATATAGTAGTGGATAAGACAGAGAAGATGGCCCTACCTTCACAGACGTTATTTTTATAGAGTGAGAAGCCAGACAGTAAACAACAGCATAGTTTCAGATAGTCCAAGCACTCTGAGGGAGATGAAGCAGGGTAATGATACAGTGAGGGCGGTGGGAGGCGAAGCAGAGAGTAGTTTAGATAGGGGGCCTTTCTACGAAGGTGGTGTTCAAATGATAAGAAACTGCCTATGCTAAGAGTCGGGAGAAAACATTCTAGGCATAGAGAAGAGCATGTGTACAAAGTTCCTGAGGCCTCCAGAGCCCACTGGAATCTCAGCTGTAATTTGTACCCCTACTTTTTATCACTTCAAGGCGTTGGGCCACCCCACAGCAGGTACAGATACATCTTTTGGTGGCTGATCTGACAGTGAATTAATAATTGGGCAGGATGTGCCCAAACATCGGATCTTCTCCTCTTCTCTGCCTCTTTCTCCCCACTTCTCCCTCTGCTTCTCTCCTTCCGCAGGCTATCCCCCTTTCATCTCCCAAGGCTGGTGTCTCTTATACAGTCCTGATTCTCGGCCTAGTATTGGAACAAAATATTCAGAATAGTCCCTGAATCTCTGAAATGCAGATTAATGCTATTGCTGTCCTTTGTGTACCCAAAGGTGTATCATTATCTCCTCAATGTGCATTTGTGTTCTGTACTATGTTAAGTGCATATTCTAAATATTCACAAAATTATGGGAATTTAGTTTTCCCATCTATTTTCTGTTGTTACTAGCAATAAAAAGCAAACAGACAGCAGAAACATAAATAGGCCTGTGATCAATTTTTGTTGAGTCCTAGCTTGGTACATGCAAAAGAATCTCCAGCAGGGCTGGACTGTCAGCATTGAAATACAATGCCTAAGAGAATTCAAAAGATTCCTCCTGCTTGAGTTACTTGAACCAAAAATTCTCAGTTTTATATGAGTAGACAGTGCATTGGGTGACACACTAGAACGTGTGCTTTGCTTTTTAATTTCTGGTGAGTATTCCAGTGATGAAAATGAAAATTATTAGTAGTAGATTTTCCTAGAGCAGAGTTTCTCAGATGTGACACTGCTGACATTGGGAAGGGGCAGGGGGGAGCTGCCCCCTATGCTTTGTAAGATGTTGAGCAGTATCTCTGGCCCCTACACACTGCATGCCAGTTGTACAGCCTCCTCAATTGTGACAAACAAAAATGAGTATTTCCCCTGGAGTTACAATCTCTCTTGGCTGAGAAACCACTGTTCTGGAGGAATTCTTAGCTGTTCTAAAGGAGCATGTCTTGTGCTTCAAGGGTATGCCCTCCTGAGCCTGTGATGGTAACCAGCAAATTCAAGCTATTAGTAGAGTGAGTTAGCCTCTATCACTTGGACTCCACAATGATGAAAAGAAGAGCTGGCTCATCTTCCATCAGCCGTGTGGTACTACTGGTGGAGGTGACACTAGTATCTTATGCCCAAGTTTTATTTATTTGTGTGGTGGGTATGAAGAGAGGGAAGAAGGAAAAATTCGAAGACTAGTCTGTACTAGAGCTGTCCCAGCCCAGAATACATCACTCTGTGTTTAAATATTAACTGTGTTCTGAGAAAGTTGACGAATGATATGTGTGTGTATATTTATATGTTCTTGTATGCACAGGGTGGGGCAAAAGTAGGTTTACAGTTGTTCATATGGAAAATGATACAATAATTATTAATAATACAAGAATAAACTCTTGTTTTTTGCATACTCACAACTGTAAACCTACTTTTGTCTCACTCTGTGTGTGTGTGTGTGTGTGTGTACACACACATGTATATATGCATGTATTTATAGTGTTACAGCTCCCTAATCGTTTGTTGGCTATTTTGGATTTTGTGTATGCTTTAATTTTTTTCTTTAACAAATCATTTTATTGTATAGTCCTTAAATTATCTTTGCCTGGTGGATTACTGCATGAGATCCACTGCATAAATCTAGAAGAATAGTTCCAGCTGTTTTGGAAAGGTTGATTTGTTTCTTCTGTATTATAGTTAATAACATACTTCCTAATATCCTGTAGCGTACAGATGTCAGCCCTTTTCAGGCAGTGGACCGAATGATGTTAAATATGCGAAACAATATGCAGGAATTACAAAGAAACTTTGTAAGTACTGAAAAGCTGATGAGAACATTGTTTTCAGTTATTGGTACTCGGTATTATAGTGGCTTTCAAACACAGTGGTTGATAAATACTGGTGTACTGCATAAGTATACCTGAGAAAAAGTTTCATGAGAAAATGATGAAACTATTTACTATGTGTAGTGATATTTTCTATTTTATTTTATATTTTAAAAATTCTGGTCATAACCCACAAAACTGACTTCATAACCAACAAGTTTGAAAAAACAGTATTACTTAACTTTCAAAATTAAAAAAATTTAACCTCAAAAGCATTTGTTCTGCTGAAGGTCACTATTATAAATGAACATTTTGTATGAATTTAGAGTTTTAAAAGTTATTTTATAACTTGTCTACTTAAAAGGAATTGTATCATCTAAGAAATTAAGTTTTAGTGTTTAAAAAATTTGATTCAGGTATGATATTTAGACACTGGATTAGATCTATACAGTTTAAATACTTATAAACTAGTAATAATACTTTTTTCTATTCATAATATTAATATCAAAACAATAACTTGATTTGATATGAAGAAGACCCATATTACTTTAGTCATCCAATTTGAAATCTAAGGATCATTTCAGAATGATTTCAGTAATGTAGCAGTCTGGTACCCACAGGAGGTGTGACACTCTTGGTGTATGGGTAATTGGCTCAATGTTGGCAGATTACCACACAAGTGTCAACCACTGACTAAAAGTATCACAGCATCTATGTTTAACTCTAAGCAATTGGTCTTTGATTCCAAAGACTTAAGGATCTTTGAGTGAATTGCTTGTTATTCCTCACAAGGAGAGTGGGAATTGGTGGCTAAGAAGGAAGGAAGTTAGAATTTTCCTGGGGGTGCCATTTGGATACACCATACTGATAGCATAGTATCCTTAGTAGAACTTCTGGTTAGTGTTGTTACTTACTTGAATTCTCTGACATTAATTCTTCATATTTGACTAAACTCTCTGGATTTACAATTTGTATTTCTAGGGTCACCTTTCAATGGATCCAAATGGACATTCGTTTACTTCTTCCTCCATTATGACTTATTCCAAAGTAGGAGATGAACCACCAAAGGTTTTCCAGGCTTCAACTCAAACCCGTCAGGCTCCAGGAGGAGTAAGTATTTTATAAGCATTCTTAGAGCTTGATAAAGTTATGGAATGATAGATCACCTATATCAAATGTTAATTGTTAAAATTTGACCTGGTACTGTGGGATGTGTGGAGGGGAGAAGACCCATGTCACTGTGAAAAACAATGAGGCATTTTTGGTCTCCCCCTACCTTTTTTCATGTAAATACCTATGATGTTTATTCATTGACAGGTACATAGACACTAAAAGAGGTCTTTGTATTTGAAATAAATGAATTTTTTTAACTCATGAAATATTTTAAGTGTACAGAAAGAATATAAAGAATAATACAAATACCCATATTCCTTTCACCCAGTTTTGTCAAATCCCAACATTTTTTTCTATTTAAGTGTTCTCTTGTTTTGCTTCCTTTTTAAGCAAAAAACTTTGCAGATGCAATTAAAGCTTCCAGTGCACTCCTCCCTCCTTGATCCCTTTTCTTTTCTCCCTCCCCCAAAGAGAACCATTTTTCTGTATCTGGAATTTATCACTCATGCATGTTTTCAATTTTATTACTTATATATGCTTCATAAATGATATAATAAATTATTTTTAGGTTTCTAAACTTTATATAAATGCTTTTATATTGTATGTATCTTCTGTAACTTGACTTTGCTCAATAATACGCTTCTGAGATTTATTCCAGTTGATACATGCGTAGCGCACTGGTTTCTTTAACTTCTTTTTTTTTAATTCTTGCCCGAGGACATTTTTACATTTATCTTTAGACAGAGTGGGAGGTGGGGGGAGAGAGAAAGAGAGAGAGAGAGAGAGAGAGAAAGAGAGAGAGAGAGAGAGAGAGAGAAACATCGATGTGAGAGAGACACATCAATTGGTTGCCACCCGCATGACCCCAACCCAGGCCAGGGATGAACAGCAACTGAGATACCTGCCTTTGCCTGGAATCAAATCCTGGTCTCTCTGGTCCCCAGGCCGACGCTCTAACTGCTAAGCCAAACCAGCCAGGGCTCTTTAACTTCTTAATAATATCCCAAATATAAATATACCACAGTTTTTAAATCTATTTTTCTACTGATAAACATTTAGGTATTTCTGATTTTTCATTTATTCATAGTTGTACAAGTCTCCTTGTGCAAAGAGTCTAGGAAATGGTATTGTTAGGTTGTAGGAGGTGTGTGTCATTTACCAAGTTAGAAATTACAAAGTTATTATCACACAGTGATTAAAACAGTCAGCTTCCACAAACTCTGGTATGAGAGTTCCCATTTCTCAATTTCCTTGTTAGTACTCATAGTAAAAAATTAAGGTTTGCCTGTCTAATGGGCTTGAGTGGTTTATTTTTTAGTTCTTAAATATAAGACATACATTTTAATGATGCTTTTGCAATAGTGCAACTAATTAATCTCAGACATTTTAATTTTAATATGCTATAAGTGACATACATCTTAAATGTAAATAGAATATAAATGTAGATGTCCCACAGCAAACCATGTTAATAACTTTTGGCTATCATAAATATTCTGACCTATAGAGCTCATAGGTGGGAGTCATGAGATTCAATCCCATCAGCATGACTGCTGAATGCTAGCCTGTATTCCCATCTTTTACATTGTCAAGGGCAGTGTTGAAGGCACTGCATTTTGTATAATTAAGTTATTCTTTGTTTTAATATTGATTGCAATTTTGGAAAAGGTTAAATTGTATTGGTTCTATTTGTCCTTAGACATTTTAATTTCAAGCAGTTCAGGCAATATCAGAGAACTATTATCATAATTTTACTGCAAGTTGGTAGTGGAACTGAGTACCCATTATTTTTAGAAGAGTAGATTTATGGTCTAATTTTTATAGTAAACAGGCCCTGAAGAGTAGAGTTATATCCATTCTATATATATTTAAATAATAGCTCATTTTTATTTTGTTTATTTTTACAGATAAAGGAAACTAGGAAAGCACTGAGAGATTCTTACAGTGGACTAGAAAAAATGGCTGTCGGTCATCATCTCCATGACCGAGCTCATGTCATTAAAAAATCAAAGAACAACAAGACTGGTGATGAAGAGGTCAACCAGGAGTTCATCAATATGAATGAAAGTAAGTTATCACAGAAAATAGCATTCTTTCTCTTAAAGTGAAAATAGCACCTGTACTAGTGGAATCTGAGATGTCATTTTGAAATAATTTATGAATGTACAGGAAATTCCTTATCAAAGGAATAAAATTGTTGTTTCATAATTTCAGAGTAATACATTTTTATAGTAATTTTTGGTAATGCTGAGTATCATTTATTTTTTGTTTTCTATTTGAGAAATGCAATATTTTTTATTGTTATCCAGAAAGATTCAGTGGACAAAATGAGTTTAAATATTTCTGATTTTCAAAGAAGTACATTTGAAAAGTATAAAAAAGTATAAAGAAAATTAAAATTATCTGTAATCTCAACTCAAAATAACTACTATTAATATTTTAGTGTATTTCTTCATAATAATTTTGTGCATCTGTAAACATACATACTTTTTCCAAGTTAATATTTTACTATATATATAATTTATAGTGTGCCTATTTTACTTCTCCATTATAATTGTGAACAGTCATCTATGATATTTTTCAAAAACATTCTAAAGCATTACCTAAAAGTTTTATCATGAATAGGCCATCATTTATTTAAACGGTTCTGTATTTTTGGAAGGTTTTTATATAGAGAAGATTTTAATTTCTGATAATAGTAGAAATATATATTATATATAATATACAATATACCATGTATGTGTCAAGTAAATATTTTCATTTTCTAGATTTTATATTCTTTTTTTACTATGTTTTTATTGATTTTTTGAGAGAGAGGAAAGAAGAGAGAGAGAGAAACATCAATGTGAGAAAGAAACATCGATCAGCTGCCTCTTGCACACCCCGCATGGGGTATCCAGCCCACAACCTAGGCATGTGCCCTAACCAGAAATAGAACCCGTACCTCCCAGTCCATGGAATGATGCTCAATCCACTGAGGCACACCAGCCGGACTAGATTTTATATTCATTTTTAAGTGAATTTGTCTTTCGGCTCAGTTGGTGTGGTGCAGTGGTTGCACATAGACCCATGCACCAAGAGGTCACCGGATTGATTCCTGGTCAGGGCACATGCCCAGGCTGTGGGCCCAGTCCCCAGTGGGGGGCATGCAGAAGGTGGTCAGTCGATGTTCTCTCTCATCAATGTTTCTCTCTCTCCCTCTCCCTCTCCCTTTCTCTCTCTTTAACAATCAATAAAAAACATATTTAAATGAATTTGTCTTTTCTGTATTCTAACTCTTCTCATTGTAGTTTTAATAAGTTATATTGATCTCCTGTTTTCAAAAAATATTCTGAATAAAAGTATTTTATGACAGTATAGGGTTTGAATTACTGTATATTTTAGAAAAAGAATTTCTCTTAAAGTTGGAGTTTGATAAACTTTCTTATGCAATGAGATGAAAGCCACAACATCTTAACCTTTCTTTAATTTTAACCTTTGTAATTTTGTCATATTGAAATATATACAGAATACTTCACAATAATTAACATGTGGAAAAAATTTAACATGTGGAAGGAAATATTATTATAAAGACAATCTGAAAGAACAAGTATTGTCATTTATCTGTTGTTGATATTATGGAAGTTAGATTACCTACTTCATAACAACATAAATTGACAGTTGAGATGAGGAACCAGTCTTAGGAAATTAACATCAGTAGCCTGTGAGGCCAAGTTACATAGGAAAATGGTGAGGTTAGTAGGAAGTGCTAGCCACAGGAGGAGTGTCCGACTGCAGAGAAAAAGGATGATCACTATGGGAAGACCCAGTATGAAAGACTGTATGTAAGTCAGTGTAATTGGGTCAAGGATTCCATTGGGTAGAATAATATGATACCCAGGCAGGTGTGTGAAAAACCAGATCATCAAAATTATCAATAGGAATAGGAGAGGAACAAACAGAAAAGCAAATATTACCCTGAGTCAGAGACCGTTGTTTGTGAAAGAGTTTCCTGCCTCTACCTTGAGGTTAGGCTGATGGAAACATCAGGCTAGAATGAAGTATGTGGGGAGCAAGGCATTTACTGACAATTGATAACTTAATATGTACTTACCCCTTTGTTTTGATATTTAATGTAGGTGATGCTCATGCTTTTGATGACGAGTGGCAAAATGAGATCTTAAAGTACAAACCAGGGGGACAGCGGCGCAATCTAGAAAACACTAGGATGCGAAATGTTGGATATGAAAATTCAGGATCCCGAGAACTTAAAAGAAGGTAAAAGTTATTTGTAAAATAAATTGTGTTGTGTAAAGAAGAATTAGGAAAAAAGTTATGTAATTTTACCTCTGTTATCAAGAAGTTCTCATTAACATCCAAGTTGTTTGTATCAACAATATCTTTTGTAAAAGATATAATTTTACATTATATTTGAGTATTCCACAGCAATTTAATTTAATACCTAAAAACCAGTATTTCAGGATTACATAATTAGTAACTCACTAGCAAATTATGCTTCAGAATATAGGGGCTAAACCCTCCTAAGGAACTGTGACATGTTCTAATGTAGTTATTCTTGTGAAACAGAGTTTGATGTGGATATAGTAGGTAGGAGTCACATTTCACATCAGGTAAAGATATTGGTATCTAGAGATATGATAAGGGGAAAAGGGCTGTATTTGAAAGGCTTAACAAAACTTTTCTAATAAGTCAAGAATCAGTATTTAATGATAAGGGCATTTTAGACACTTGTTTAATATGTAACAATATATATATTAAGTATTTGGAAGCCTTTTGCAAAAATGTTAGTCTCCTTTGGAATTACCTTTGGAATAGCTGTGAACTATAAACATTACAGATTATAGGGTTTTTTATGCATTTAGTATATATTCTAGAGTTACAATTTAATTTGCTTCTCTGGGGAGGAATGGGGAACAATACCTACTTCCTTTTGAAATTATGCTCAGGAGGGAGAGAGAGGCCTCAACAGCCCTTCAAACAGAAATCTGTTCGAGGCATTGGAGTGGCAGATTGCTGCAGGAGGCAGAGGCTTCACAGACCCAGCAGACAAGGGGGCAGCAAGTAAATCAGAAGCCTCGTGCAGTTTCACGTGCTAGCATCTTTTACTTTAAAATACTTCTTTGGAGTTTAAAGTCCTAATATTTTCTATAGAAAATCTTCTCCCATATTAAGTTTAGATAATATTTTTTTCACTTTGAAATGGTTATTGATAAAAACCTAACAGTGGTAAGATTGACTAAAAACCAGGTCCCAGTAAAAGAAAGTATGTTCTTTATAGATGATCTATAAATCTATGGCCCTGTCAGGGGGATTTTCTGAAAACTAGCACCGTGTGACAGAACTTTCTGAAATGATTTTTTGCAGTGATGAAAATGTTATGTATCTGTACTGTCCAAATATGTAGCCACTGGCCACATGTAGCTGTTGAGTCACACTTACAAGGCAGCTGGTGCAACTGAGGAATGGAATTTTGAAATTTTTATTGCAATTAAAAAATAAATGAGCCCTGGCCAGTTTGGCTCAGCGGTCAGAGCATCAGCCTGCGGTCCAGAGAGACCCGGGTTCGGTTCCCGCTAAGTTCGTGTGCCTCGGTTGTGGTTTGTCCCCGGCCCTGGTTGGGTCGTGCAGGTGGCAGCCACTCGATGTGTCCCTTTCATGTCAATGTCTCTCTCTTTCTTCCTCTCTCTCCCTCCCACTCTATCTGAACAAAAAATGGAAAAATGTCCTCGAGTGAGGATAAAAAATAAATAAGTAAATGATATTGCTAGTGGCTACCATGTTGGACAGCTTGGGTAAACCATACACAATTAAATCGACCTCAGGAAAGTAGCTGCTGTTTTTCTTAAACATTATGCGGAGTAGTCTGCCACATGCTTTTCACAGCTCTTAAGGAACTGTTAAGATAAAGCTGCTTAAATTACAGTGTTTTTTTAAAACATGTTTGAATTTACTTATAAACCATTGACCATTAAAAAATGGTATTAATTTTTATATGTATATTTCTCAGGGAGAAATCTCATCAAAATCCAGCCATCGAACATGGAAGAAGATCAAACGTTTTTGTGGACAAACTCAACATCAAAGGATCACCTGTGAAAATGAACAAAAAATAAACATCCTTGAATTTGATGTGTTCAGTTTGGGTTGTTTTTAACAGAGAAAGTAATGGTGCTGGGTAATACACATAAGACCAATCTCTTGTTAAATCAATAGTGTACTTAGCAACTTTCTTCTGATATCTCGATGTTTTTGAAAGTGCTGACTTTATATTGTCCCTACTTTGGAAATAAAACTGATTTTCAACAATGTGGCAAAGTTGTTAAGCATTCAATCACACTCTTTACTTTAAAACATACTAATTTTTAAAGCTCACATGCTGGTTTTGCTTTCCCAGTTATTTCCTGTTGGCTATGTACTCTTTTATACAAGATTGGATGTGGAGCTAGTTCTATAATTAGTTGTAAGAAAGTTAAATGTTAAAAAAAAAACTCTCAATTTTCATTAATACAGTACTACACTAGAGTCATGTTAATAAAGGTTAAAATAATTTAACTCAAATTTCATAATGTGTTATGCAGCCAGCTAGCTTAAAGATTTTTTTAAAATAAAGAAAACTATACTAGTACTGTCTTATGAGAAAATTAGTTATCATTTTGATAAAGAAAATAATTCATTTTCAAAGAAATATTTTAAGTTGCTAATATACAGGAGTTTTCTTTTGGCTTCTTTATACAGTATATTTTTTGTTCTGTATTACATTCTTAACATTTATCAGACTTTAATTGACCTTTCTGTGTAACTTCTTAAGGTAGCATATTTCTACTCTCCTTTCCCACAAATAGCGTAATCCGTCTCCACAGTTAACATTCTCAAGTTGGAGTGTCCTTGGAGAAACTCTGCTCAGCCATTTTGTGACATTTAGAAAAATGCATTTGGTATTCTGTAAGCCTGAATGATTGATTGTCTCAAAATGTCTTAGACAGGTGATATGTGTGTTTGACCAATTCAGTTGGTCCCTTTTAAATGATACCATTTAAAAAATCAGCTCTAGCATTTGTATTCTAGAATTCAAGCATTAATTTGCTTTTATAATGGTTAAGTTTGAACTTTATTGGAATATAAAATCTTATCTCTTGAGTTTGTTGTTTCAAGGGGAAAAATAGAACAGAAAACCCACTATCATTCTATAATCCTAATATCTTCCTCTTTTAACTTTGGAAGTAGAATTATGTGGTTGTGCTTATACTCTTCTAGTTTTCTACATCATATTGTTGTAACCCAGGAGATCGACCACACTCAGACTCCATTTTTCAGTTTTTGGGGATGTTTTATTACCTGCGCAGGGACTGCAGCCAACCTACACAGAGGAGAACTGCAGCCCCGAGCTCAGGGGGAGGGTTGCTTATATAGGGCAGGGGTCACTCAAGAGTTTAGCAGAGCAAGCAAGCTGCTTGTACAGAAGCGGAGGCAGTTAGCGATAAGCAGGAGGGAACGGAGGGGGGAGGGAGCTGAGGCGAAAGGGAACTGGGTCAGCATACATCTGTCCTGCTATTCATTCCATTATCCAAGTTTTAAAAACTAACAAATTCGAGACAGATATCAGCAGTCAGTCAGGTGCAATACACACATGTTGAACAGTTACAGTTTTATGGGGTAAAGGGAGCTTCAGTTTCTCCCTATCAGTTTCTTTACAGAGCATGCAGGACACTCTGGCCTTGGGGCCGTTTCTGTCCTCCCTTTTCCTGAAGGATGTTTCTTTTCAAATTCCCAGTGAAGGTCAAACTCTAGTTAATTTTTATGGGGCTAAAGCCCTCTATAACATTTCCCATTGTTCATCTTGTTGTCTCTGAGGTTGTTAATTAGGGCAGCTTAAAGACAAGTTGGATTCTAAGGACAGTGAGCTACAACATTCCCCCCTTTTTCTTGATAGTGGATCAAACCATTGATCCACAATTGTCATGGGGAGACAATCTCTAGTAGGATTGTGCTAAGACCCTAAGTTTTACTGATTAGACTCTCTCTCTGATGAAGGCTAGGAGTCTATTAAATTTGGATGGGTTTACAAGTTATTCCGATTAATAATAACAGTAGGGCCCTGCTATAGCTGAAATCAGGGATGTTAGCTATGGTGACTAAATAAGTTTTCATATTAATTATGGGAGACCTGTTCTCCTTCTCTTAGTTTCTTTGTCTTAGAATTTGGATGCTCTGTCTGATTATACCTGAATGGTTGGCATAGAAATAGCAGGTTTCACCTAAGGCTGCATATAGACCCTCTTTTGGTTGACATTTCTTAAGATTTTTAAAAAATGTTTTATTTCTAAGTACCCAGTTCTACTGGGGTCTAGATCTATAAAGATTCCCCTGTACAGTTATAATTAGAAAAATTAGAGTCCCGATAAACGTAAGAGTCTTATTTTAAGGGATCTGGAGAGGTCTGCACCGTTCATTCTGCTTTTTCTGCCTTCAACCAGGAATGATGCAGCTAGACCGGGATGCCGTTGACCTTGATAGCCGTTGGTGAAGGCAGGATGACAGTGTGTGGTCCCTTCCAGGCCAGAGTTAGTCCTTGGATGGTGAATTTTTTATTTGCATCGAGTCCCTGGCTGGAAAGGGTGCACAGAGTCTGAGGTGGGCACAGGCAGGGCATCGCAGATGTGTTTATGGATGGCCTTCTGGGCAGACTGCAGGGCCTGTAAGAATTGTAAGAGGGCGAGGGGAGCAGAGTGGTCCAGTTTTCACCGGTTTCTAAAGTAAATTTGGTTAAGGTTTCCTTTAAGGTCCTGTTCATGCGCTTTACCTGCCTGGAACTCTGTGGGCAGTAAGCACAATGGAGCTTCTAATTTATATTTAATCCCTTAGAGATATCCTGTGATATCTTTTCTATCAAGGTGGGGTCATTGTCTGATCTAAGGGCTAGGAGTAGCCTAAACCTGTTACTCCCTTTATTGCATCCTAGACTATTATTCTATTAGTAGGGGCAAGTTCTCCCCTCTCAGTGTCTTATCTTCTTCCCTTCCTGAGTAATCCTCTATTGTCCTGTCTTCCTGTAATATGTATGCCCCTCTCTTTCTTCTTCCTATCTTTTTATTTTTCTGCATAATCCTTCTTCAACTTACATAGACTCTCTGTGACTTTTCTAGTCCCTCCCCTGACATGAACCTGAGAGCTTGCTCAATCTATCTGCTGTCTGCATATCCCCTAGCCTTTTTTCTTTTCCTCCCTATTTAGACCTATATATTCCTGCTTCCTTCTATCTTTTCCTTTTCCCTGTGACCTTATTAGAGTTCAGTAAGCTTGGTGTAACCTAAGAGGGTAGGCTGGTGCAGCTGGTTGACTAAAGTCCGACCTAGAGCCTCTGGGACCAACAATCTCCCAGCAGGCAGTGTCTATTATTTGTTGATTTTCTTTATGACTTGTTTCTGCTCAGTTAAGTCATTTTCTGACCCAGTGTAAGTAGGAGTCAGAGGTGAACTTGGGTTTGGTGTGGTAACTGATATTTGGAGAGGTCCCCACTGGTTTTAGGGCTATATGTTGATCTTCCTTATTTGCAGCATGGTTTCCCCTTGTCTCATCAGAGAGCCTGGATTAGGGCTATGAGTTCAGCCCATTGGGCTGAAGTTCCCCTACTTAATGACATGGTCCAGAGTTACTACTGTTGCCCCGGCATACCTGATATCTTCCTGGACATAGTTGCTCCCGTCTATGAGCAATACCTCATCTGATGATGGCAGTGGGTCATCCCTGAGGTCTGGGCGGCCGTCTGCAGTGTCGATTGCCTCTAGGCCGTCCTGCAGAGGTTATTCCGGGTCATCATCTGGAGGCAGGCTGGCAGGATTGAAGGCCAACGTCTTGTGGAACTTGATGCGGGGTCTGGCTTGGAGTGGCAGTGGCCAGCAATTAAATGATCTCTGGAGGAGATCACGTCCGAGTAGGGGGTATGGGTACTCCGGCAGGAACAGAAACAAATGAGTTACAGTATTTTCCCAAGGTCTATATTCCTCTTTGAAGTCCAGGGGTAGGTTAGGGCCCCATTGGCTCGGTCAAGACTGAGTCTGCTGCACCAGTGTCTATTAGGAAACTAACTAGTTTATCCCCTATTATTTAGTATTATTCTGGGTTTCAGGGCTCAGTTGGAAGGAGCCCTGGCCCTGTCATTTTCCTAAATTAAGTATAGCATTTTATTTTGTTTTTCTATACCTGACTTTGTCTTTGTCTTTTCTATTCCTAATTGGGACCTAGGCCTGTGGTCCTGACCCTTCCTTATATTTCCCTTCCTAGGGTGACCCTATTCTATGTGCCCTGTTTCTCTTAAGGCTGCTATTACTACCTTTGCTAATTCAGCCAATTGGGCCAATAGGCCTTACAGGGGAACACGGTGAAAAGTGTTCTAAGGAAGCCCTTCCCCCGACAGTATTTGAGTCCTACCGTGGGCAGAGGAATGGGAACATTTCCTCTGACCCCAGGTTTACAAAAGGACACAGGAAAGGGGAGCAATGTCTTAACATTGTTTACATGGGGCAGAGTGTTGTTTTTTTTAACTCTCTAAGAGAATTTCGTATCCATGCCTGGGATCCCTAAAGTTCAGAGAAGCCTGTTGGAAATTAGTTGCTGTCAAACCCGCTGTGGACGAGCAGCCCGGGCTGGCATTTCAATGGTTAAACAGTTTGCCTGTGAGAATATTATTAAGCCTTGCAGAGAGGCAATGAGACCTCATCATAAAGAAGCTAGTACATCCGTATCCACATCCATATCTATTCAGACATTGGGTCCCCCCATACACAGGGGACACAGCAACTGAGGCTCTGAGAGAAGCCTGCCCTGCCGACAAGGCAGGAGAAAGCGGCAAAGAATCATCTTTTTTTATTCCTTTATGTCAATTTTTATTTTCCATCATTCATAAATCTTAAATCTTTATTATTTTTATAATTTTCTTTTCATAAAGCCCTTCTCAGGTGGAGACCCAAGTATATTAGAGATATTATTTTATTCATGCTATAGTAACTATAGCTCAGATTTATTTATTTATTTTTTTCTATTTATATGTGAGTACATTATCGCACCATGAAAGAAAAAACTTTTTTAGTTAAACTAAAAAGAGCCTGATCTTTAGGCCTCTGGGGCTTAATTATGTTCTTTCTTTAAATAATTCAAGCATGACTTTATAAAATATATTATAAGCCCCTTTAAAGTGAGGACTGTTTGCATAACCCACAGCATTAGTAGAGACCCCCGTATAAGAGGCATCTGTGCATCTGCTAAGTGAACAAATAATCACTCTTATTAGTGTGTATGCTCTTGCA